TGGAGGAAGTAACATGTAAGCAGATACCTCGAAGGTGAGTAGGAATCACTGTGGCAAAAATTGAGGGCTCCCAGCAGAGGCAGGAGCTCCCCAAGCAGGACCTTCCCACTCATTGACAGAGGCTGGGGTTGGAAACAGACTAGACTGAGGGAGAGGTGAGGTCCAAGAAGAGCTGAGGCCAGATCTCGCTCCGAGGGGATGCAGAGCATCATGGGGAGGAACCACCTTCCAAAGGAAGAAGACATTTCCTCTCTCCTAAGGTGAAAGAGGAGAAACACAGCGGCAGACACAGACCCAAACAGGTCTGCAGTCCGCTGAGGTTGTTCCCCTCTCAGCACTTCTGTTTTCACTATGATAGAAGAAGTGACTGCAAGTGACTTAGTAGGAGGCTTCAAGGAAGAGGCTTGAAGGTGGAAAATCCCAGTTGCTGACAGTGGAAGCGGGAGCTGAGATCTCTGATCTTGGGAGTGGCCAGTTGCAGAGAATGATGACAATTTTAGGTGACAACAGTCTGTCCTCTGGAGGGACTTCCTTCAGGGGTCCTTACCTACTTGGGAGCAAGTGTGGACAAGACAGACGTTGGGTTCATCTGGTCATGGGGCTCACCCAGGGAGGCAGGATGGATGGGACAGACAGGGAAGGGAGGGATTTGTTTTGAATATGGAACCTAAGACGAATAAGAAGAGGTGAAGAGACAAGAAGGGCCATGGTTCTCCAGTGAGCTTTAGAACAGCGGCAGTAAGCCGGCTTGAGCAAACAAACCATAAGGAAAGGAGATCATATCAGAGAGTGGGATGTTTGATTCAGTTATTTCATAGGTACTGCAGTTTCTAGTGATAAGGCCTGGGTCTAACCCTGGGTGGGAGTGGGGAGGGCTTGCTAAGGTGGATGGAGAGGCATGTTAAGATGAGAGGGTGCAGGAACTGAGAGGTGACCGCACTGGATGGAGCACCCAGATGGATAACACTACCTAGGATGACTTCTGTGCTCAACCTCACTTTCTCTCCACTACCCATGACCAACATCCCACAACCTATCATTCACCTCCACCCTCCATCAATGCCCCCTTCCCATCTAGTTTCCCACCTCCGTGCCCTCTTTCTCATCTCCATCCTCATCCTCTCCCACTCCATCCTGTCTCAACACCTTCATCCTCTCCTCACCCCTTTCTCTCTCTGCACCCTTATCTTTCTCATCCTCTTCCTTCCAGCACTTTATTTCTCCTCCACACTGGGCACCTGAAAAGCTACCGCATGGTGGATTAAAGCCTGTGCCCAGGAGCCTAAATACATGGATTCAAATCCCATGGATACCACCTACCTATGTTGCCTCCCTTGTAAAAATGGGGTAATAATAACAGCTACCTCATAAGGTTGTCAAAAGGATTACCTGAGTCTAAAGTGCTTGGAACAATGTCTGGGCACAAAGGAAGTGTCGATCACAGGATTGTTGTCCTCCTCCTCTCCTTGCCTCATGGGAGGCAAGGCATGGGTTCTCCATGCCCCAAGGAGACATGGGTTCGATTCCTGGGTTGAAGATCCCCTGGAGAAGGAAGTGGCAACACACTCCAGTATTTTTGCCTGAAAAAATCCCATGGACAGAGGTGCCTGGCAGGCTATGTCCATGGGGTCACAAAGATTCGGACATAAAAAAAAAAAAAAAAAAGATTCGGACATGACTGAATAACCAAGCACGCACACACACTCCATCTTCTCACCTCCATTATCCCTCCGTCCCTACTTCATATTTCTTCTGAGATGCAGAGATGAATCAGCCTCAGCCCCTACCCACAGTCTGACAGGGAAACAAACACAAAAAGAAATGTCAGGAGAATATAATAAGTACTACTTCAAAGATGCAAAGGAAATGCCCTTGGAGAATAGAGGATATGCAAACTAACACTGCCTGGGGAACTAAAGAAAAGTCTCAACAGGCAAATAAACCTCTCAGCTGGATCTTGAAAGATGAGGAAGGATTTGCCAGGCAAGGGCAGGAACGAAGTATTCCAGCCAAAGGAACATGACGTGTTTCCTGTGCTGCTTATGTTAGAACGTCTGAAGTTGTGCAAGATTATGGGAAATTAGGATGAACCCCTTCCCTGGAGGGGGCACGCCCTATCCCAGTAAGGCCAGAAGGGGGCAGCAAAGCTTTAGGAGCTGTGGCAGCTGGAGCCCACAAAACCTCCAGAGCTGCAGAGATCTTGAACCCTTCCACAAGCCCTGACCCTGAGGATTTTCCCCAGACTGAGCCAGCCAGGCCAGGGGGGAAAAAACAAAACGAAAACAAGATTTCTGACACTTGGAGAAAAAAGACTAGGTGTGTCTCAAAAGAAGAAACGAAGTCCTCTAAATATGCCCTCTAACACATGTTGAACATCTTTGAACATCTTCTATTAATGTTTTTTCAGAGTTTACTTTTCCTCTGGGCAGGCCTATAAGCAGCTTCTATGAAGCCTCACAAAGCTAACACAACAGCTTCTCATAGGAGATGTTAGTCAACCTACATCAAACCCATTGATGTGTTTCAATGGCAAGCACCATATGCTCTACACAGGTGGAGGAGATGCCTAAGTCTTGCAGCTTAGAGTTCACCATGTACTGACCTGGGAGCTAGTGGAGTGCAGGAGCCTTGTTGGTCCATCTCCAATGAAACAGGCAGGCATCCATGAAGCAAAGAATGCCCCTCCCCCACCCCATATACACCATTATAGTAATCCCAAGTTTTTGTTTCCGAAAAGGTTTCAAGGTTGTCTACTCAGAATGACAGGAGCTTAGGCTGAGATGAAAGAGGGTTAGGAGAGAGTTAGGAAGTGGGCTCCTCTTTGGAAAGGTCAGTTGAGGCCTCAGGAATTAACACTGCCCCACTCCAGCTCTGCTTCTGACACCCCGGGGGGAAGCGTGGGGGCTGCTGCTTGGCCCTTGTACTTCACATTGGATCTCCAAGCAGGAATTACAGATTTAGTCAACAAGACTCAAATCTTGAAAAAAATAACTCAAGCTTGGTGGAGGGGATTTCAAGAGAGATGGTAAAGAGAAGAAAGACAGATGTGAGGCAGGGAAGAAGGGAACAGAAGGCTAGATCCAGAGCAGGCTATGGAGAGACGTTTATAAGATGTGACAGCTGCCACTGCTCCTCCTGGAGATCTACTCCTCCTGGGAGCTACTCCTCCTGGGGATCTACTCCTCCTGGGGACTGCTCTTCCTGGGGAGCTACTCCTCCTGGAGGCTGCTCCTCCTGGGGATCTACTCCTCCTGGGAGCTGCTCCTCTTGGGGATCTACTCCTCCTGGGGGCTGCTCCTTCTGGGGGCCTGCTCCTCCTAGGGGGCTTCTCCTTCTGAGGAGCTACTCCTCCTGGGGGGCTACTCCTCCTGGGGCCTGCTCCTGCTGGGAGTCTACTCCTCCTGAGGGGCTGCCTCAAGCAGGTGTCTACATGATGAGACACAGTAGTCTGAGCCTTCTCAGGCCTCCTTTCTCCCAACTTCCCCCAAACTTGTGTTCGTTCTCCCTCACCCTCCCTAGTCCCCAGGATCCTCAACCCCTCCAAACCCAAACCTGCCATATTGGAGATCCTGTATCAAAGGGAGCTTGGAATCCTGAAGAAGATGAGGTGAGAGGGGAATCCTGAACCCTGGCAGCAGGAACAGAGGCTGGAGAGTGAGAAAGCTGAAGAGCGCAGGAAGACTGAAGAGGCAGAGAAGGCTATGGCAGGGAGACCACACAGAAAAGGAATGAGATGTCTAGGATGTGGAGATAAAACCGCCCCTCTTGTTAAGTCCCTCTAAAGCAAGGACCCCTGCTTCTGAATCCAAACCCTGCACAATACTGCCATGCTGTCTGGGGAGATCCAGACAGCCCAAACTACCACAGTTAAGTTCACGTGATTGAGAGCGTATACAGTACTGCTTCAGGAACACCCAGAAATGTCTCCAGCTCACCTACAGCTGTTCATTCTTGTCAGGTGCAGCCACTTGAAACCAGGATATGAAGGAGAGATTTACTTGGAGGTGAAGGTGAGAATGATTTCTCAGATTTGGGGAATTGAAGACCTCTAGCCTATCTAGACCTCTCCACCACCACCAGCATCAGAATTACTTAATGCGCTTCCTAACAGGGCAGATTCCTGAGCCCCCTTCCTCTGGCAACTTATTAAATCAGAGACTGGTGGGGAGTGGGGGGAAGACTCCCGATTCTAACCATCTGCCTAGACTATGTTCAGTTCATCAGACTAGAGACAACTACTCCACCTCTAGCTCCTATCCTGGTACCCAGTTTCCTGTCATCCTCTCTCCCAGCCCAACCGCTAAGCGAGCTAAGACATTTCATTCCCTACCATACCCCCGATGCCCATCTCCATGGTTATGCCTTGTGGTCAGGGCAGAAACCCCACTACTGATCTATCCAGAAAGGGGGGCCAGGGATCCAAAACACTGATTTCTCCTGTATGTGTGGGTTGTCCACACTTCCAAGTGCCACCAAGAGGGGAGGATCAAATCAAACCCCTTTTCTTGGCTCTGCATCTCAATCTTAGATGTCATGGGAAAGAAAGGGAGCATACAAGCCATTTTCATGAAATTGTGCTTATTTGGAGGAATTCCCTGGTGGTTCAGTGGTTAGACCTCTGTGCTTTCACTGCTGAGGGCCTGAGTTCAATCCATGGTGGAAGAACTAAAATCCCACAAGTTGCATGGTACAGCCAAAAAAAAAAAAAAATCATGCTTATCTGGGGTAACTTGGGGGCATGCTGATGAAGTTTGGATGGGCACTGAAAACCCCCCACACCATCCCTTAGCACCACCTCTGCCAAGTTTCCTAGGCCTCCATTTCCAGGGAGACCTTTGCATTACCCTAGTCCCCTCCTTTCTGCCCCCACCTGACCTGGCCCACGGATATTCAACTATCGTAGCCCCCACTGTCTGCTGCCAGCTGGACTAAGAAGACAGGCTGCTTGCTGATACCACTGTCTACTGCACCCAGCGTTTCCCAGCCTCAGCCACAGTGTCATGGTCATGGTGACTGCTGCATGATGAATAGGAAGAAGCAGACAGGCTGAGGGAGGGGGCTCAGGTCACTCAGCTTCCCATGAAGTGGAAGGACCCCCCCCAGGGTGGAACAGAAGGTGCCTCACGCTCTAAGAAGAACCAAATGGGGAGAGGGGTGAGTGTGGGTCCATCCTGCTTCGGTCCCTTCACTTTGCAGTCATGTGTCCTCAGGCCACATTCCATGAACTGCTCCATGCCCTGGGTTTCTCTGGATGGCTCTTTCAGACATGGAGGGACTGTCTGAATGAGGGCAAGTTCCCCCCATACGTCAGCCAGAGGGAATCACTGATATCTCACTGACCCCTTCCTTCCAACTCTCCCTTACCCTTCTGAAGTTTCCCTCTCATGTACCATCTCTTTCAGTCTTAGAGAGAACTGTTCTACAAAGCAAGTGACAAGGCGAGATGAGTGGAGACAGCTGCTTTCCACCACAGCCTGGCCAAGCACTTGGAACTGTAGGAGGCTCACTGGGTGCTTCCTTGGAAGCAGCAGTGAGAATGAGAACAGCTTAGGGTCATGGAAGGAAGAGGGAGCAGTCAAGTGCTACCTCCTCCCGTGGGGCCCTTTGTCTTCACACTGGGAGGTCTGACTACTCCAGGACTATAAATGACTGCTACCTATGGCAGTGCCCAATGTCCTAGGCTTGACCCAATCACTTGCTGCCTTCAAAGACTCAGGCTGAGGCCTCCCTGGTGATCCAGTGGTTAAGAACCCACCTTCCAATGGAAGGGACACTGGTTCGAACCCTAGGTCAGGAAGATCCCACATGGCACAGAGCAACTAAGTCAGTGCACCACAGCTACTGAACCAAAACTCTATAGAGACTTCGAGCCACAGCTACTGAAGCCAGTGTGCCTAGAGCCTGCGCTCGAAAGAAAAGCCACCACTATGAGAAGCCTGAGCGTAACAACTAGAGTAGCTCCCGCTTGTCGCAACTAGAGAAAGCTGTGTAGCAATGAAGACCTACTACAGCCAAAATGTTAAATCAGTAAATCTTTGGGAAAAAAAAAGACTGGGGCTGGGACCAGGTCAACCACAGCACTGCAGAGGTGCTGTTTTGGGGCTGGGTGAGAAATAAGGGAGAATTGCAGATGGCACTTATGACTCAAGTCAGCTTGTGGAGAGGTTGCAGGGGGTTATCGGCTGCTAAAGTGGAATAGAAACTGTAAGCATGGCTGTCCTTGAGGGATTGGGGGGATTCATTTGTTCTGAGGCCTCTTTGTCTTCCTCTCTCAGGGCCTGGCCTGGAATTTGGCCCTGTGACCACCTGTGGGATTGGCGCCCCAGGCTTCTTCTGTACTGGCCGATGTGCAGGTGTCGTGGGGCTCAGAGGCTGCACAATTGTCCGTCATCCTCGTGTCATTCTATCATCCCCCACACACAGCAGACTGGGCTGCCACTACCTGCGCCTGGATAAGTGAAGCTGCTCCCCAGACCCCACGCTGGAAGGCCCCTGAAGGTTCAAGCCCTTGATCGGTGGGGTGGGTGGACTAGAGAAAGGGGAATGAAACAGAATGGGCCAGGAGAGAAGTCGCCTTCTGAGGCATCTGGACAAACACGGTTCTACCCTCTGCCCTGACCTTCAGAGTGAATGCTGAAAGAAGGGAAATGGATTCCCACCTGGGACAGAGAATCCCCATGGGGAGATCTACCATCCTTAGAGTCAGTGCTTCCTTGCCAACCTCACTTCACAGCTGCTCCCTGGGGATGAGACCAGACATCCCTCTCAGATGCCACATGTCAAGGAAGCAGAGCTCACTGGCTGCTGCTGTTTACATCAATGCTTAGAAAGGGCAGTGTACAAAGTGCAGGCGGAGGGATCATCCTGGGCCCCATGCCTTCCAGGAAAGGCTATTCAGATGAGTATCAGAAGTGGACTAGCTGCAGCACACTGGCAAAAAAGTTTGGAAGTGCTCTTATGGTAGTACCACGCAACGTGTTTTTATGTACATTTTTTAAAAATTATCATTGGAGTATAGTTGTTTTACAATACTACTTTAGTTTCAGGTGTACATAGAGCAACATTGAAAACATAGTGTTTCAGTATTTTTATAGATTATACTCCATTTAAAGTTACTATACAATTTTGGCTCTATACATTGTGCTGTACAATGTATCACTGTAGCTTATGTATTGATGCTCATTCATTTTTTACCAAGTACCCTACTGAGTCCATGACTCTGATTTACAATGAACATTTTCCTTAGAAGGAGGGCTTGAGTAGGTAACTGAGGCTATAACTATGCCCTGCTACATATTTCCTTGCAGATACCTGGCTACTATGATCTTCTGTCCTTTGTGTTGGTTGTGTTAAGACTAATGAAGTTACCAATGCTATTACTTACAAACCTGTAAGTCTTTCAATCCAAGACCTGTTATTCCAGCTGTCTTTAGGATTAGTTGGGCCCCCAGGAGACTCCCTGAAGGAAGAGTGAGAAACACTGACAGAAGCAGTACTACAGGCTCTAGTGAGCAGAGAAGGCACTGACAGGTAAAGAGATGCTTCCGGCTAAGGCTTTATACAGGGGGCCAAAGAGAATGCTGAAGTCCTTTACTTCATAATCCTCTTCTGAAGACCTTCCCATTCATCACACACCTGGCCTGCACCTGTTTCATGAGATATACTCTTTCAGGGACTATACTTCCATTAAGAGATCCAAGTGTCTAGAAAAAAGAAAAAAAGAGAGATCAGTCCTTTTAGGTGCTATATCCACAGCCCCTTGATTACTAGTCTGGTGTTCACTGCGCATATGTGGAAATCTCCTGGCTGCCAAGGGTCTTCAGTTGGTATGCTGACCTTGACTCTCCAGAAGAAACCTCTAGAAGTATCATTATGAAGGAGCCACCCTTACCATAAAATACAGCAAGTAACAGCAAGTAAGGTAACATTCCAAGGAGTCTTCTTTTCAATTCCTGGAATCTAGGTATTTAAAATTGTATTGACTAAACACACATTTATACATATACTGTCCTATGTACTGCTGAGCTGTCACTTCAGTCATGCCCGACTCTGCAATCCTATAAACTGTAGCCTGCCAGGCTCCTCTATCCATGGGCTTCTCCAGGCAAGAATACAGGAGTGGGTTGCCATGCCCTCCTCCAGGGGAACATCCCAGCCCACAAATCAAACCCACATCGCCTGCATTTTCAGGCAGATTCTTTCCCGTTGAGCCACCAGTGATTATTCAAAATTGTATTTCTGAAAACAAGGATCCCTAACATGTGGCCTATTACTATGGGACACCTCTCCCCTTAACAATAATGGAGTTTACCCATCTCTAGGACATAGGGCTCCTAGTCCCCTTTTCTCTTAATGAAATTTTTTTTTTGCCTGCGCTGCCTCGCTTTTGGGATCTTAGTTCCCTGACCAGGGATCAAATGTGGGTCCCCTGCAGTGGAAACAGAGTCCTATCAACTAGAGCACCAGGTCATCATCACCATCTTAAGCATGACCAATGCACCTTGCCTAAACACCATTGTCTAGCTCTTCCCCTAAGTCATTTCCCTTGCTGCCAAGTTCTCCTTCCAACAATCCAAGTTCCTGGCAGTCTTGGATCTTGGTCTCATTCATTTCAGGTTGTGTATACCCTCTTATTGATTTCCTGTTCAGCTTACCATTTAGGAGATCTAGATATTAAAATAAAGGTAGGAAAAAAAATTAGCTGAGTGAGAGAGGGTCTGAGGGAGTTCTGAGTGAGGGAAGGTATGAAAGAGTGTCAAGGGAGCAAAAAAGAAACATAAATAGGAGTAACTTCAAAAAAAATAGAAATTAAAAAAAAGGTAAGACCCTTCACCACCTAGTCATTATTCCAGACCACATTACTACCTCTACATTCCTAGATTTTGGTTATTTCGGACCATAATTCTTTCATGACCCATCAAGTTCTCTCCGTGGGATTCTGTCCAATGTTGTTTTCCCTGTGGATGCACTGGGAACCATGGCCTATCAGAAAGAAGCTACTCTTCAGGTGGGACCTCCTGCCCTTTTATCATTCACCAGAGCTCCAGTGCACAACAGGGGGCCCAGTGGAGGGATCAGAAGGTGTGATGTTACCTGGAGCACAAGGGTTACAGCAGAGATGATTTCTTATGAGACACTGGATGGAAAGCTGATCTAATGTCTATACTTAAGTTCTACTTTTCTCAGAATGCCTCTTTCTCTGTATATCAACATTACACTAGCCCTGCAATGGAAAAAAAAAAAAAAGTAGAGACTTACGGTTCTGAAAATTCGTTCTTTATTTTGATATAAAAAAATAAATCCTTCAGCGTATAAAGAATGTTACTTGTTTTCATATTGTTGTAAAGCAAACTTACAAGATAGGAACATCTGCTATCAGTTCAAAAGATGCCACACTTTAGAAAAAAAGTCACTGCTACTTGGATTCAACAAACATCAGGGTAGAGGAACAATTATCTCTGTCTCCTGATTTTTCCATAATTTTATTAAATCATCACTAGGAAAGCTAGTAGTGGGGATGTTACAAAATTATGCCAGAATTTGGTAATGACGGTGAAACCAGCCATTCAAGTCCAGCTAGGTCATGACCTTGTACAAATGCTCTACTTGATACACTACAGGCCGGGCTGGTGATAAGATTTGAGTTATAACGTATAGATTCCTTTCAGTTACAGTTGCAAAGGAAGTCTTTAAATTCCTGAAGTAAGCTAGGAAGCAGGCTGCTGATCTGGATTTGCTCAGATGGAAGACACTTACAGCAGGAGTCCAGTTGACAGCCTGTTGAAATCACCAGGCCTGTGCTTGTCAGGTAGTTTCAGGCAGCTGATCGGGACACCATCTCCAGATCTTTGAGTGATACATTTGAAGTCCTCACGGTAAAGCTGTGGCCATGGCTGCATTAGCTCTGGCTATTGTCTTTTTTTTCTTTGATTTTTAATATCATTCTTTACCAGCTGTAGCAGCCACTGCTTGGTAAAACTTTGCCACAAAGTCTGGCTCACTGGCCTCCAGCTGCCTGACAAATTCATTGCGTTCCTGCTCAGCCCAACCTCGAAACCACTGATCCCAAAGACGTAGCTGGCACTCAAAGATACAAGGTGGTCGGTTTGCCCCAGACACACTAAGTTGCTCCAGACTTTCCAGCAGTGGCTGCAATTTTCCCGGTACTGCCTTAGCTACCAGGTCCCGAAGGAAACGTTCACGCTGAGGACCTGACCAGCTGGCAAACCAGTGAAGAATACACTTCATCTCCTGGGAAGTGATGTAAGACATTGGGGGAGGAGAAGAGTTAGAAATATTGTCTGGTACTGGGGGTAAGGGAGAAGGGAAGGATAGTGGCACTGAAGTGGAAGATGATTCCAGTGGCATCCTGAAACACAAAAGCACTGTTATGTACTCTCTGGATAGAAAAACGAAAATAAAGCTTCCCAACAACATGGAATCTTACAACACTCAACCAGCATCTATTACTTTTCACCAATTTGGTTTACAGAAAAACAACAGCGTCCTTTATTTATTATCCAACTATCTTACAGAAAGCACCCAAGAATAACTTCATTTCATATCTGCCAACTTTCCTCTTTTTTTCTTGTTTCCATGGATTTACATGTATTCCCCATCCCGATCCCCCCTCCCACCTCCCTCTCTACCGGATCCCTCTGGGTCTTCCCAGTGCACCAGGCCCGAGCACTTGTCTCATGCATCCAACCTGGGCTAGTGATCTATTTCACCCTAGATAATATACATGTTTCGATGCTGTTCTCTCGAAACATCCCATCCTCGCCTTCTCCCAGAGTCCAAAAGTCTGTTCTGTACATCTGTGTCTCTTTTTCTGTTTTGCATATAGGGTTATCGTTACCATCTTTCTAAATTCCATATATATGTGTTAGTATAACTTTCCTCTTTTTTAAACCCATTACCCTCCCCAACCACAGCCTCCCTCCATCATTCCTACAAAGAATCGAAAAATAACCAAAGCATCCCTTGTTCATTCTTTCCCACCTAATTCTATGTTCCAGGTTGAGTAAAGAAAAAAACCAATGATTAATACTGGTCTAATACATCTTCCCTAAAATGAAAAAAAAGGTACACATTTTTAAATTTACCAAGCAGCTGGTCAAGACCCAGATGCTAATCATTCCTGAGCTATCAACAGTACATTAAAAAAAAAGAAAAAAGAAAAAATCTTATACAGTGCAAGAGCCTTCTCTGCAATGTGCATGTAGCCTCTGAAATAAGAACTTTATAAATGTATTATTTTCTTATATTTCCTGTAAAGCGTCAGGAAAAACTGAAGAGCAGA